TGTTTGTGTATAATATCCCAAGACAGAGAGCAGCACTATACAGGAAGCACTGACTATCCCGGGATATTTTATACACACAGATCTGTATTATACAGATAGCTGAGCATATACCCCAATCTCTAGACTACTAGTACCTGTCAACAGCAGCTCCCAGGCGCATGTAACAGGGCTAAAGTGTGCGGCAGCTCACACAGATTATTCAGCGGTAAAGTGCACTCGCTGGCAGAGCCAAACTTGGAATCCCTGGGAATCCAAAGCAGCCCTGGAAAAAAAAAACGTATGCCATTCCTACAAGTCAAATATATATATATATATATATATATATATATATAGTACAGTAAGCACACAAGCTCACTGACATGCGCAAATAGGCTTACTGACAGACAAAACTCTCTGACTCACACACAAGCTTACTACAGACACTCACTTGTATAAACAGAAGGCTCACTACAAAGAAGTTCAGGGACACACACACAAGCTCACTAAAGACAAGCTCACTGACACACACATGCTCACTAAATAGAAGCTCACTGACACACACAAGCAGTACCATTTTAACAGAGTTAAGGGCCCCTGGGCAAAGTAATACACTGGGGCCCTTCCTACACAACAACTCACAGGAATTTTAATTATTGATAGACTATGGAGTCCATACACACACACACAGTGCTGAGTCCATACACACACACACACAGACAGACTGCTGAGTCCATACACACACACCCACACACATATTGCTGAGTCCATACACACACACACACACACACACACTGCTGAGTCCATACACACACACACACTGCTGAGTCCATACACACACACACACAGACTGCTGAGTCCTTACATACACACACAGACACAGACTGCTGAATCCATACACACACACACACACACACACACACACACAAAGACTGCTGAATCCTTACACATACACACTGCTGAGTACATACAAACACAGACACATAGACTGCTGAGTCCATACACATACACACACACAGATTGCTGAGTCCAAACACACACACACACATACAGACTGCTGAGTACATACAAACACAGACACACAGACTGCTGAGTCCACACACACACAGACTGCTGAGTCCACACACACAGACTGCTGAGTCCATACACACAGACTGCTGAGTCCATACACACACACACACACACACACAGACTGCTGAGTCCATACACACAGACTGCTGAGTCCATACACACACTGCTGAGTCCATACACACATACAGACTGCTGAGTCCATACACACACAGTGCTGAGTCCATACACACAGACAGACTGCTGAATTCACACACACACACACAGAGACTGCTGAGTCCATACACACACAGACACAAACACAGACTGCTGAGTCCATACACACACACACACACACACACACACACACACACACAGACTGGAGCACAGAAAGTCTTCACGGAACAAAGAGAGCACCTGGTCAAATGCAGCAGTATTGAACTCTTTTATAATCTGTTCTTCGAACTTTCTATATATGACTGGTTGTTTCTGTGTCATTTATCTTTGCACTCTCCTTTAAACAAAGAATAAAATGAATTGCATACCAGGAAAAAACAGTCAATTCAATTCTAAACATGCAACCTTGTTCATTCCACTTAGCATGAAAAAACACACACCAGTCCTTTATAAATTAATTTTTGAAAATTCTGGAAATCTCCACTAAATCAATGCTCTAATAAAAAAAACTAATTACATGATACTTTATTTATTCATTCATGCATTACTTAATTTAATCATTCAGATTACAGACAGTGATGGTGGAATGCAATGTTCATTCAGTTTACACCAAAAAAATATAAAAATAAAAAAACTCTAATAGCGGTAGTGCTCCCTTCGTAGATATCTAGTTTTATACAATTGTCATTAATCGTTATCTTAAATATACGTAATCAGCAGAAGCTGACAATAAAACTAAGTCACGTCTATTATACAAAAAATAAATCTATAATAAACACAACAACTGACACATGCAGATGCTCAGATGCACAGCTCCACAACAATACAACTCCCAGTGATGTGCCTTTTAGAATATCACAGAGCTCCCCAACTATAATACACAGAGTAATGCGTATTTTGTACGACTGAGTCCCACTGTAATAAATCTCACTGTAATATGATGTAATTTAGCAGTGGCTAAGGCCAATAAGAAATTGTCATGCATTAAAAAGGGCATTAATTCTAGGGATGAGAATATAATTTTGCCTCTTTATAAATCACTGGTAAGACCACATCTTGAATATGCTGTGCAATTTTGGGCAACTGTTCTAAAGAAGGATATTATGGCACTAGAAAAAGTGCAGAAGTGGGTGTGAAGAAAATAGACTAATTTTCGGTATTTTCTTCTTCATTTCTTGATTTTCTGCTTTATTTTGGTTATTTTGTATATAATCTATCAAACACCGACCACCCTCCTGGCTCATTATCGTCAAAGGGAACCGTCTATTAAGTGCTCTCTGGGCGGCTGTCGTTCGTATAGTCGAATGCCACGTGGAAAAGAAAATGGCGGCCATCTTGTTTGCACGAAAGGAGGCAGCGGGACTTGGTTGTCGAGTGTCTGGAACTAAAATTGGACACTTCCCGAACACCGCTGAAAACATACAAACGCCTGCTTCCTTTTGTTGCTGAACAGCCAGGAGAGCGTCGTTCGGTAGTGGGTTTATTCGTTTATTTGACTTTGTCGAAATTGACCGACCGCACACACTGAATTCATGGAACTGTTTTGGGCAGGAGCTTCGTGTGCGGTCAGTGAACTAACACTTCCATACTTTTTGAGAAGCCCTGAACCGATCTGGGTGAAATTTGTTGGTCTCCCTGATCGGGGCTATCAGGGGACATGTCATTTGTGGGAATACCATATATATAAAGGGGTGTTCTAAGTTTTGGGGAAATTGTGTGCTCTTTGCCTGGAGATAACTGGGTTATTCTTTAACTTATCTCATTATCTCCCAGGCAGAGGAAGGGAAGGTTTTACTGTAAATTTGTACTATGATTGGTTGTCACTTTTGTTTACTGTGTGAGGTCCTCTTGCAGGAGGATTTCCATAAAAGCCAGTGTGGCATCAATAAAACATGATTCCTGTTGTACCCTTCATGAAATCTAGGCTCATGCTTGGGTAACCTTTTGATTGCTGGGGAAATTCGACTTGGAAGCTGCATTCAACTCTACTATTACTCTACACCCTCACTGTAGCTATAATCACTTATGTTCAGCTATTGGGAAAGGAATAGAAGAACTCAGTACCATAACCACTGAGGTTCTTAACAGTGGGCTTCAAAACAAATAAAAGCAATGGAACATTTTAGCTATGAAGAATGGTTAACAAATTTAAACCTCTTTAGTTTAGAAAAAATTCCTCCCAAAGGGGATAAGATAAGATTATACAAATATATCCGGGGCCAATACAAACCATTGTGTGGAAATCTATTCCATGCGTTTTACCGTAAGAACAATAAGGATGTGGAATTCTCTGCCTGAAGAAGTGGTTTTATCAGAATTTGTACAGACTTTTAAGCAGCAAATAGATGGATACTTGAAAGAACATAATATTCAATGGTATAATTTTTAAACTATAGGTTAATCGCTTCCTGATCCAAGGATAAATCTGACTGCCATTCTGGGGTCAAGAGGGAATTGTTTTCCTAGTTTGTTGCAAAAATTGGAAGTGCTTCAAACAGGTTTTTTTTTAACCTTCTTTTGGATCAACAGCAAAAAACAAGTTTGAGGAAGGCTGAAATTGATGGACACATGTCTCCTTTCAGCCTATTTAACTATGTAATTTGTGTTGTGTTTGTGTGATAGGTGTTATGGCTGTGTGTAATATGTAAGCTATATTATGGCAATTATGTGATATTTGTAATGGGTGTATTGACTATGTATAATGGGTATGTGTGAATCCAGATGTGCATTTGTGCAGAGCCACATGCACACAGTCCCACAGTCAGATGTATACAGTTATAGAGCTATGTTCACACAGCCCCAGGCACTTAACCACACAGACAAAGTCACACACAGTTACAGATTTATAGTCCAACACAGCTACAAGCAGCCACTCCCCCCCCCCACACACACAAAGTCACAGGCAGACAATCACACAGTTAGAGATAGTCATACACAGTCACACAGTTACATGCAGTCACACACAGTTACAGGCAGACACAGGTACATTCAGAGAATAACACACACACACTGATACAGGCAGACAGTCAGACAGTTACAGGCAGACAGCCACACACACACACACACACACAGATACAGGCATACCATTACAAATACACAGTTACAGGCAGACAGTCACCCACAGTTACAGACAGACAGTTACATCTTTCCATCATATGCACTTACTGGGGGAGGGAGTGGAGGCACTATACCCCCTGGTTTCTAGCTGTTCAGGAAGAAAGGACTCCTCCCTACTTCCCCCTCAGTGTACAGCAGTAACCAGGCAGCAGATTCAGGCCACATCTAGCTCCAGCCCTGCTGCCCATTAAGCTCTGCCCTACTGCCAGTCACCACGCTGCCTTATTAGGTTCTCTGCTAGACCTGGGTGGAGGATAATGAAATCCTCAACCTGGATGTTGCCCGGCCACGTTACCAAGTTTGACCAGCTCTGTGCACCCACCTAATGCCTGTCACTCAGGGTGTGTGTGCGCTATGCCAGTAATAACCTGGAGCCATGAAGGTAAGCAGGAATAATATGAGTAATCCCAATAATCAAGGACAAAAAAAGTGATGTGATTTACTATATCTAAAACCCTTGGATTGACACAATATCTATGTTCAAATGGACCAATAAATCTGCTATCTTACTGTGCATGTATAGATAGGATCCCAGAAATTAAAGACTGTCAGATATAATGTTCTGTCTTTGCTTACAGAATATATGTATGTGAGTCTGATAGTTTCACACAGGAAGCTACAAAGCTACATGTGGTTGAAGCTTTCTGACAGGAAGTTTGCACTTATATTTTCCAAAGAGCACTTAACCCATGCACATGCCAAGCTGCGTCTCCTGGATAACTACAAATAATTAGTGAAATAAGATAGACTAGTGGATATATCAATTCATACAGATACTACTAGGTAGAGCATTTATTTACTCATAGGTAGATACATAAACTTCAAACAGAGCTGCTACATACAAAAATAATTTATAAACACAAAGAGGAAAATAATGGCTACACACAGTCAAAGCTAGCTACATGAAGAACGTGCAAGTAGAAAAACACAAATACAAAACTTTAGACCCAAAAACTCATATACATAACACATATACATACAACAAATATTCACTGGAGTTCAGCAAAGGACCCTTACTAAGGTAATATTACTTATTATTATTTTATCTTTCACCGCAGGTATAGAAACAGCAGTTAGTTGTTAAAATGTTTAACTTTAGAATACCTTTTTATATAGACATGTTGGAAAAATTTAAGGAAAAGCCTCAGATACTAATTGTACTAATATCTACATTAATATACTCATAATATATTCATGAACATATCCTGAAACGTTGTCCGATCCTTTTCCAATTATTAAACATAAACCTATCATGAAAAACTTAAGAACTTGACAAGTGGTCCATATATATTGTTTTAAAGAACACGTAGATGTATTTTATTTGACCCGATTTTAAGAGCATTACATATGTCTCACATGATTCACTTTTTTTACAGTTGCAAATACCATTACATATGTAATGCATTGTTGTCACCGGGCTACACATTTTCAAAATTGCTTGGGTTGTATTGTAACCCCTTTCCTGCCAAACCCTTATATATGTGAGATGAATTTCAATTTGCATTGCAAAAGCCATCATGAAAATTATTCTTTTAAGCCCCAAGTACCATCTCTTTTGCTCCACTGGTCGAAAAGTGAATAAGAAATCTATCTGCAGGGACACTGATTTCATGATCTGACTGGCCGTAAGGAACTAAAAATTCCATCCCTACACTTACTATAAGTTAGCTATATTCTATCCTGGGTGGGAGAATGGATATATTATAGGGCTTTAATAGCAGCCTGTAATTTACATTATTTTAGCCTGGTGAGTCCAAATAATTGCCAAGGCAAGTCCACCAGGTCTCTATAAAAGTTTGGTCATTACATGCTCTTGGAGTAAAAGCAACATGTTTGTGAGACTGAGCTGCTTTTCATGAATTAAAAGGGTTAATTACTAAAGTGAGAATTAACAGTTAATTTCAAAGTCATGGCCAGAGCAGCAGATCCGAAAGCATAGCTGAATTAGAGATATTTTGACTTTACATTTGAAATTCAATTTAACTTCACTGTGAAAGCTCACTTTAATGAAAAACCCTGTGGGTCTAACAGGGTTATTAGTCCGAATAGGCTCATACTGAGGGCAAAGTCATCCAACTGCAGCACTCTGTGTAATGCGAATAGGATATTGCTTTGCTGCAGAGGGATTTAGTTAGACTGGGGGATTGAGCACTCTAATGGCAGATAAAATGTAATGTACACACTTCTGGGTAAAGAATGGACAAGCAACTTACACTCTCAATCAGAGGTGCCCAAAAGGTAGATCCCCAGATAGTCTAGAACTGCAACGCCCATGATGCATTGCATGCATTTGCATGCCTTTCGAATGACAAAGTACCATGGAAATTTTAGATTTAAAACATCTGGGGATCCCCTGCCCTAAATGGTAGTGAATTAGAGATAACAACACACAAGAAGGATTTGTGAATTTTTATAAACAGCAAACTAGACAACAATGTGCAATGTCAATCTACAGGGAGTGCAGAATAATTAGGCAAGTTGTATTTTTGAGGATTAATTTTATTATTGAACAACAACCATGTTCTCAATGAACCCAAAAAAACTCATTAATATCAAAGCTGAATATTTTTGGAAGTAGTTTTTAGTTTGTTTTTAGTTATAGCTATGTTAGGGGGATATCTGTGTGTGCAGGTGACTATTACTGTGTATAATTATTAGGCAACTTAACAAAAAACAAATATATACCCATTTCAATTATTTATTATTACCAGTGAAACCAATATAACATCTCAACATTCACAAATATACATTTCTGACATTCAAAAACAAAACAAAAACAAATCAGTGACCAATATAGCCACCTTTCTTTGCAAGGACACTCAAAAGCCTGCCATCCATGGATTCTGTCAGTGTTTTGATCTGTTCACCATCAACATTGCGTGCAGCAGCAACCACAGCCTCCCAGACACTGTTCAGAGAGGTGTACTGTTTTCCCTCCTTGTAAATCTCACATTTGATGATGGACCACAGGTTCTCAATGGGGTTCAGATCAGGTGAACAAGGAGGCCATGTCATTAGATTTTCTTCTTTTATACCCTTTCTTGCCAGCCACGCTGTGGAGTACTTGGACGCGTGTGATGGAGCATTGTCCTGCATGAAAATCATGTTTTTCTTGAAGGATGCAGACTTCTTCCTGTACCACTGCTTGAAGAAGGTGTCTTCCAGGAACTGGCAGTAGGACTGGGAGTTGAGCTTGACTCCATCCTCAACCCAAAAAGGCCCCACAAGCTCATCTTTGATGATACCATCCCAAACCAGTACTCCACCTCCACCTTGCTGGCGTCTGAGTCGGACTGGAGCTCTCTGCCCTTTACCAATCCAGCCACGGGCCCATCCATCTGGCCCATCAAGACTCACTCTCATTTCATCAGTCCATAAAACCTTAGAAAAATCAGTCTTGAGATATTTCTTGGCCCAGTCTTGACGTTTCAGCTTGTGTGTCTTGTTCAGTGGTGGTCGTCTTTCAGCCTTTCTTACCTTGGCCATGTCTCTGAGTATTGCACACCTTGTGCTTTTGGGCACTCCAGTGATGTTGCAGCTCTGAAATATGGCCAAACTGGTGGCAAGTGGCATCGTGGCAGCTGCACGCTTGACTTTTCTCAGTTCATGGGCAGTTATTTTGCTCCTTGGTTTTTCCACACGCTTCTTGCGACCCTGTTGACTATTTTGAATGAAACGCTTGATTGTTCGATGATCACGCTTCAGAAGCTTTGCAATTTTAAGAGTGCTGCATCCCTCTGCAAGATATCTCACTATTTTTGACTTTTCTGAGCCTGTCAAGTCCTTCTTTTGACCCATTTTGCCAAAGGAAAGGAAGTTGCCTAATAATTATGCACACCTGATATAGGGTGTTGATGTCATTAGACCACACCCCTTCTCATTACAGAGATGCACATCACCTAATATGCTTAATTGGTAGTAGGCTTTCGAGCCTATACAGCTTGGAGTAAGACAACATGCATAAAGAGGATGATGTGGTCAAAATACTCATTTGCCTAATAATTCTGCACTCCCTGTAGTTGCTAAGGCCAGTAAGGTATTGGCATGTATACAAAGTGGCATTATTCCTCAGAATGAAAGTATAATTTTGCCTCTTTATAAATTAATGGTAAGACCACACCTTGAAGATACAATTTTTGGCACCTGTTCTATAGAAGGATATTAAGGAACTAGAAAAAAATGCAGAGGCGGGCTGTAAAATTAATAAAAGGAATAGAACATTTTCATTATGAAGAAAGATTGGCGCTATATAAATCGCAATAATAATAATAATAATTAACAAATGTAAAAGTTGAGAAAAACAGTGCCTCTGTGATTGCATTATACAAATATATTTGGGGCCAATGCAAACCATTGTTTGAAAATCTATTCATAAATAGGACTCTATGTAAGACACAAGGTCATGCATTTAGACTGGAAGAAAGGAGATTTAGTCTAATGCAAAGAAGAGGTTTTTTTTTTTTACGGTAAAAACAATAAGGATGTAGAATTCTCCACCTGAAGAGGTGGTTTTATTAGTCTGTACTGATGTTTAAACAGCAACTGGATTACGACTTGCAAAAACATATGATTCAGGGATATAATTTTTAATAAGTTGGGTAACAACTTCTGACTGCCACTCTGGGGTCAATAAGGATGTTTTTCCTAGTTTGTTGCAAAACTGAAAAGCGCTTCAAACTGGGTTTTTTGCCTTCTTTTGGATCAACAGCAAAAACAGACATGAGAGGGTAAAAAGAGGCATTCCTCTTTTCAGCCTATGTAACTATGTAACTCATGGTTGACATATAAATGTGTAAATTACTGTGTGTGTATATAATGGGTTAATTATGTATGTTGTAACATACATCTGGGTTGCAGGGCCGGCGCGTCCATAAGGCGGCACAGGCGGCCGCCTTAGGGTGCACCGGCTCTGGGGGCGCAAAATTCCAGTGACCGGCAGAAGGGAAGTGCTCCCTCCTGCCAGGCCACCTCCTGGATCCCCGGCGCGGTGTGCGGCTGAATTGGATTCCGAGGCGGCGAGCGAGCTCTGATCTCTCTGATCTGCTCCCTCGCAGACTGTTTACTGATGCCGGGAGCCGGAATATGACGTGATCAGCAAAAGGCACGCAAGGGAGCAGATCAGAGAGATCAGAGCTCCCTCGCCACCTCGGATCCAATTCAGCTGCACGCCTCCCAGCAGCCCCACTGGACCACCAATGAGAGACCCACGTCAGCTCTCCAGGTAGGGAGGCTGGGTGGGAAATTTAAATTCAATTTATATTATTAATTACTGTGAGTTTGTGTTTCTGCATGTGAGTGTGTCTGTCAGTGTGTGTGTGAGTATGTGTGTCTGTGAGTTTGTGTGTCTGTGTGTGTGTGTCTGTCAGTATGTGTGTGAGTGAATGTGTCTGTCAGTGTGTGTGTGTGCATGTGAGTATGTGTGTCTATCAGTGTGTGTGTGAGTATGTGTGTCTGTGAGTTTGTGTGTGTGTGTGTGTGTGAGTATGTGTGTCTGTGAGTTTGTGTGTGTGTGTATGTGTGGGAATGTGAGTGTGTGTGTGTCTGTCAGTGTGTGTTTGTCAATGAGTCTGTCAGTGTTTGTGTGTCTGTCAGTGTGCATGTGTCATGGTACCTGAATCACAGACCTCCTTCTCCTCCAACAGTTTCCGCACTTTAGAGGCCGGCCGTGATAGCCCCGCCCCCTTTTATGACGCGGCACAATTTCGACGACGTCAATGACGTCATGAACCGCCGAAAAAGTCAAACCAGGACATTTTGGGGGCGTGCACATCAATTAAAGAGCCAGGCTATAAAAAGTACTCACTTACAGTGAGTCATTGCCCTGTCGTGGTTTCAGCTTGTCTGTTCCCTCAGTGCATCTCTCGTGATTGGTTTTCTGGTTAATTATTTTGGCTTGTATCCTGACCTTGCTGCTCTCTCCTATCCTTGTACCCGGCTTGACCTTCGCTTACCTGTCTTCTCGCTCCCTCGACCTTGGCTTGTCTCTGACCATTCTTAGTTTATGTGACGTTAGTCCGGCCACTCTAAGGTCCGCTATACATCTTTATAGTTTCAGTACACTGCGTGTTGGATCCCTGTCTTGATCCTGACAGCATGTGAGTGTCTGTCAATG